CCCCAAAACCCCAAAACCCCAAAACCCCAAAACCCCAAAACCCCAAAACCCCAAAACCCCAAAACCCCAAATACTTGAAGTTAAATTGTAAATTTTTAATTATATTTAAATTTGTAAATATGAACTTGCAAAGGAATAAGAATTTATCTAAATCTGGAGAGAGAAAATCTTCTACAGGAGGAGGACTCAGGTATAAAGCTAGAAAATCAACTCTAAATAGACCCCATCATAACGGAATGAGAAAAACATTTAAAGGATTTAAAGCTCCCAGCAGTATGAAATGTAATTATTAATTTCAACTTACAGATTATGGAGGCTTTGAAATGGCTAAAAAGAGACCCAGAACTATCCGTCGAGACAAATATGCACTCTATGACGATGTAATTAAACTAAAATTGAACAACAATATCCTTACATGCGAGAACATGCAACTCAAAACAAGAATTAGAAGACTAGAAAGAGAACATGAAAACAAAGATAACAAAATTATAGGCGAAATTAAATAAGATCGAAGAACAAATGAATTTTCATCAGGACTCTGACAGTAAAAATGATCATAAATCAAGTCCATTCCCTAACGTAAGCATCAGTTGTCTTCCCTCCTAAATATTTATACAGAAAGACAACATTAAGTTAGAAAAGTTGACCTATCAGACAAATCTTTCAATGGCCTTAAGAAGACAGATTCAAGACCAAAAGGAAGAGATTAGACAAAAAGATGAAGAAATATTCACCCTAAAAAGGGACGTTAGGAATACAAAACATACTGAATTTGAGACTGAAAATGGGATCTTAATGAATGAGTGAGTTAGGCTAAGAGCAATTATTGACCAACTGTTCTCCCAAATTGGACCTGATGCTCTCAAGACTGAGACTGATGAAAACAGTTCAACAATTCAAAGAAAAGAAAGATCGAAAGAAGATATGATACAGAATTTATTAGAAGCAAATCAACAATTTCAAAAAGTTGACCAAGATAAAGATCATAAAATCATGGAAATGCAGGATTATATTAATAATATTGATGAGAGACTACAAAAGAAGATTAAAGAATGTCAAGAGAACAAGAAAAACCATCTAAAGACCATTAAAAATAAGAACAAAGAGATAAACTCCCTTAAATCACAAATTGACTCTTCTAAGAAAGATTCAAGAGTGCAAAGATCTATTGAATATAAGAACAAAGAAAAGGAAGCTGTTAGCAAATTAGAAAGAGATCTCCAAAGAGTTAAAGGAGATCTCAAAAAATTCAAAGAAAATGATAAGAAAATGAAGAAAACTATTCAAAATCTTGAACAAGATAAGAAAGATAATGTTTTGGAAATAAAGGAACTTAGGAGACAAATTAAATCCAATGAAACAAAAATAGAAGTACTCAAAGCTAAGACTCATTCTGAGACATCTTCAAATGCACAAACTAAAACTCCTGTAAATCCTGCAATTCCAGACCCAGTTAATGCTTACAATGGAATGCAGAGAGAAAAAGAGCCTAAGCTTAACCCAATTATTTTGGATAATTCAGCAAATAAAAATGTTAAGGACAGTTATGAATACGATATTGACAACAGCCAGTGGAACAACAAAGATGCTCCCAAACAAGAAGCCCTCAGCCAAAGTAGGCACTCTGAACAGCATATTCCAAGTAAGTTTCACCATTTGGCCGCCTCCATCACTTCAGTAGCTCTTGCTACATCCAGAGCATGTCTTTGAGCTGGAGTCAAAGCAGTCCGGACTTTGAACCCAAGGCTGACAGGGCACTTCCTGTTTGTTTCATAAAGACAGAATGTGTCCTTGTTGGGCCTTGCATGTCGTCTGTATTTCGGACATCTTCCTGGCTGTTGCTGTTGACTTTATTTACAAAAGCCTTTGACTAACAATGTTTAGACCACAAAGACAGCCGAGCCACAGGCGAGTCAGTTCAGCAGAAAGCAGCTCGTGAGAATGCAGAGCTCCATTCAGAAAGCTCGCTTCATAAAGGTGGCCTTCAAGAAAGCGAAGAAAGAGTTCAGCAGCATAATCAGAATGAGATTCTGGCAGAGGAGACTCAGAACCACAAAGCAGAGCGGCAGGATAATGAAGGGGAGGACACACAACATCGAGGACACAAAGAGAAGAGTGACCATCATTCTGAAAAGAAAGTAGAAGATCAATATGACAGCGATCAGGATTTATTTCCAGATAATTTTGATGATCCAAAACAAAGCTCTAAAGATATGCCATCAAATTCTCAAGGTACTTCTGTTCTTATCGCTGAAATCTTCTGTATAGACAATTTTCTTTTCACATTTTTCAAATTTTGATTTCTCAGTTTACTTCATATTTAATATTGGATGGCAAGTTTGACACCAGTTCCATTTTACAGTTTTCATGTTGCTTTTGCAGTTTTCTTCGCTTTATTTGGCCATACAGATTCTAAATTTAATAATAACTCAATGTTGTAAAGGAAGTTATATACTTTCAAGAAATGGTTTCTGTTAAAATAAATTAATCTCTATAACTCCAGCCTGCAACTTCATCTGGTTCAAATTAGCATTCTTTTCTATTGCTCAAAAATAGGAAAAATAAGAATAGTTTTTAAATATTGCTAATTTGAACTTTTAGATAAACTGGTCACCAGATCTGATGAAAACAAAAAGGAAGAAAAAGTAATAGAAATAGACAGGAAGGAAAGTCATTCTAAAGTCCAGACAGTCAAAGAGCCTAGCAAAGGTTTGGAAGGTAAGGGTATTGTTGACCTACTTTTGTTTGGTTAAAATATACATCTAATACAGAATTCTTAATATCTTTCATAAAAAATATCATATTTGTTTTACGATCTTCACTAAACATTTATTGGTTTAGAAGATAGACAATCCTCTAATAAGTCAGAAGAGAAAATGCTAATTCATAAATCAACTGATAAAGAAGAATCAGATAAAGAAGAATCAGAAAAGAAAGAATCAGAAAAGAAAGAATCAGAAAAGGAAGAATCAGATAAGGAAGAATCAGATAAGGAAGAATCAGATAAGGAAGAAGATGAGGAATATGATGAGGATCAATTCGAAGCTCCAAAAACAACTGAAAGAGAAGACACCAACAAAGATTCTGGTCTCCAACCTCTCATTAAAAATGAAGATAACAATAAATCTAAGGAAGATCAGAAATTGGCTTTAAAGCAAGATGACAAAAATAAGGCTAGCGAAAAAGAAGAATCTGAGAAAAGTGTAACAAAAGCTATTAACGATAAAAACAATCCAATTGTTAGAGAGGAAGAAGCTCCTCAACAAATAGAAAATCCTTATGAAAATCAAGAACAAGATGGGCAGTATGAGATTGACGGGGTCCCAGAGAAACCAAGAATGGGGAATAGCCAGCCTGATGATAACCAAAGTAATGAAGAAGATAAAGAAGATCCGAATAATATGCACCAACAAGAAGGAGAAGGCGAGGGTGAAGGTGAAATGAACCTTACTGATGAAGAAGTTTTCGAAATAGCAGAAAATGCCTTACTCAAAGTGGCTCACTGATTCCTAGTGAGAGGAACAACAGTGAGTGAGCTATTCAGTAATCACATACAACAAGTCAGTTATGAAGGACAACCAATTCTTATCATATCTCCTGAAATATTTATAGAAGGGCTTAAAATACTAGACATCCAGAATATGACTGAATTAGAACTTGCCTGTCTCATGAATGTTCTAGTCAAGCCAGAACTTGAGAACGGTATTCTTGTTGAGGAGTTAGAATCAATCATTCAAAATGCACCACAGATTCTAAACATGGTAAGGTAACCAGCTTAACAAAATAGCAACCTGATGGAGAAGGGGATAGAGAAGATAATCAAGACGTTCAGAATATGCTTGTCATAGATCCATCAAATAATCCGGCTGAAGCATATAATCAAGTCAATGAATCAGAAGGAATGTTTGGGCAAAACATGAATGCTCCTTATCATGCACATAATGATGATAACCTCATTCCGAGAGATGTAATCCCTGAAGATGAGAATGAAAGAACTCAAGACTCTGCTCTAATAAGAATCACTGAAGAAAGAGATGATACTCGAAACAGTAATCAAGACAACCAATCTCAAAGTCTCATAATTCCAAAAACAGAGGACAAAGATGGCAACTATGAAGATGATTGTGAAGAAGAAGAGCCTATCCCTACAAAACCATTTGATGACCATCAAAACGAAGCAGCTCCTGTAGATCAACAAGAATATTTAAGATTATTGCAAACTCCTTCAGATAGGCCACATACCAGAAATCCTCGGATGCAAAGAGATGGAAGTAAAACAAATGAAAGCAAATCCAAACCTGTTGAAAATTTTGGAAGCTTCGAAGAAAAGCAAAAAACCAAAGAATCAAACAAAATAGAGAAAGAAATAAAAGGAGGGTTTGAACTTCCTGACGACTCAGATCAATAAATTATTTTCAGACAAATTATTAAAATATGCTTCAATATTTTTTCAAATATAAGGGGTTTTGGGGTTTTGGGGTTTTGGGGTTTTGGGGTTTTGGGG